AAAATAATTGTGCAGCTTCATGCCTAACTTGATATATTTCGAAAAATAATGACTATCGCTATGAAGAGATTATTTACGTAGAAAGTATGGGAGAATCAACAAATTATTGTTATAAAATGGCAATTTCGCCAGTGGCGTAGAATTTGGGATGCGCCAGTCATATGCACCTGTCGTATGCCTCTGGTAGTAGCCAGAAAAGTTTATTTCACATAATTAAGTAGGGTGTTTTGTATCTACACTTTCCAGCAAATATGACAATCATACGTCAATTATTACCTACTACTCTAGAGGCAAGAATGATTTTGAAATGTTCAAATAGAACACCCTGTAACTCAGACAGAAAACACATTTCATGTAGGTAATTCTGGTTAAATCTTCATATCCTGATCTCAGGAGTCTATGATTGAAATATTACCAATTAGTAATGACAAACCCTGTATACAATAAAATGTACCTGAACTATATTTGGTACACTTCCATTTTAATTAATCACTCCAATATCTATCTCATAAAATGTAACAATCCAGCTTATGAGAAAAACAGTTTATCCATGGTATTGTTAAAATCAGTTGAATCTGGAGAGCGATCAATGTTGAAACATCCTAACAAGCTGTTGAATAAAATCGGAGCTTGAGACGGCAACGTTGTTTATTATCACACTGAATTACCTATTTTTCTTGCGTTTTAGTATTTTTTGTGAACTTCAGTACTGCTGACGATTTTCCATCGTATTCTAACGAAAGAAATATAAAATTATGAAAAATCCTGGTCCTTTTCTCATATCATAGTGAACATCATGCCAGAAACCATAAAATATTCTATGAATTATCTGACAAGTTCAAATATTCCCATTTTGGATAGAATGTTCTGAGAATAATGTTCATGGAATAATTTCATCCTGCAACAAATATTCTATATGAACATTCAATTTGATATATTCTCAGAAGATTCTTTTTGAATATTGTGAGAATATTCCGAATCTGATATATGATATTATTGATGTATTTTTACTACACGTTTAATAATCGAAATAGAAGTTTATAAACCACCAAACAAAATAAATATAAAAATATCGATAAAACGATACCAACATTATAGGTATATTCCTCATTTTTCTGGTATAGGACGTTTTGATCAAACATTTGCGTATGCCTCTATCATTCATCACCCTGTCCTCTTTCTTCGATATTTATGAGATTTATAATGTTTCCTCCGATCCAATTTATTATTCTCTAGCATCAATAATAATGATCCTATTAATGAAGTCTTGACATCTTGCTTTTCATATTATTCATCAATAAGGATAGTGTAGCCCAGTGGAAGAGGTGTAAGGTTTGTAAAAATTCATCGCATCCCCACCAGGCCAAGTTTTTTTCATTTACTTCCTTCTTCTATATGCCAGCGTTGACATCTTGCTTTTCATATTATTCATCAATAAGGACCATAGCCCAGTTAAAGAGGTGTGAGGTTTGTAAAAATTCAATCACAAGAGAAAATGTGATTGCATCCCCACCAGGCCAAGTTTTTTTTATTTCCTTCTTTCTCCAACATGATATACCAGGAGTAATCCCAGAATATTCAGAACAACCCATTCCGAATGTTCATAGAAGTCATAGAACGTCCCTAGAATATGTATCTCATATTGTAAGAATTTTCTGAGAATATATTCAAATTTTCTCGAAGAATATCCTATGACATTGTGCTATCTGGGATAGTATGTTTTCTTTAATTTAGTGTTCTTGCCTATTATAGCATTTTCGCCCATTAATAGAGCGCCCTCTAGAACCAAGCAACTACAAGTTGGAATAGCTGAGTTTTTTCATATAGTGCCGTTCCAGCATAGGGCAATAGGAATCGGAAATTGAAATTAATCACATAAGGGAGTTATGAGCCACATCAAATTAAAAATTGTTCTCTGAGATATTGTCTATGCAATTTTTTCTATGCCTAATCTACTTGGAAAAATTCTATTGCAACTTTTTAGGTTTTTTTGCCGTTTTACTTGTTTCCGGAAAATCCATGAACTCAAGAATTAACTTCAATTATTGAGATATTCAAAGTCCACCTGGTGATTTGAGATTAAAATTTCGATATCGCTATCGGCTCCGAAAACTAGAACTCTGAGGGCATCTAGCGAGTTTGCTAGCCAGTTGAAATCGTTTCTCGAAATCGGTTCGCATTCGAAATTTTCAATGGACCACGTAGAAAGCGCTCAGTTCATGAAAGTTCCAACAAGTGGGATAAGTGGAAAACGATATTATAGTCAACAAGGAAAAAGCCAAATAAACTCATTACCACAATCGTTTATAAAATGAACGAAAATGGTAGATAACGAGAGAAAAATTTTCATGGCTATATGCCACGCAGAACATTGAATTACATGCTCCCGAAATCTTTGCATTAATTCGTATAGACGAATGAAATCGCGAGTGTTTCCTTCCTAAAGGCCGAGCTGCGCCTAAGTGGTTCAGAAACGCATGACTACCTGCAGACTGGTTTTTGGCTCTCATCAGTGCAGGGCTGTCCCAGATAGCATTCTCGACCGTTATCTGGTGCGAACCTGACCGAACGTAAACGAATCTCAGTATTATACCCCACGAGGCGTTCAACATCCGCGAAATGAGAGCCAAGAGCTCGAAACCGTCCTGCAAGTTGTCACGCTTTCCTGAACCACTTAGGCGCATCTCGGCGTTTAAGAAGGAAACACTCGCGATTTTATTCGTCTAGATACGAATTATTTCGGGAGGATGTAATCCAATGTTCTGCGTATCATGAGCATGTAACCAGTAAATTAGTTGTTTTTCTCTCGTTATCTAGCATGTTGGTTCATTTTTATGAACTATTGTGGTAATGACTTTGAGATTATCTCTCTTTGCGACCATTGCATTCCACTTTGTTTATTTGACTTTTTCCTAGTTAAAAATACGCCATCCGTAATATTGCCGGGGTAGCAACGGGTTAGACCAAGTCCCACCCCTCTCTCACAAGACTCCCATAGGGGATGACCACCGGCCACCTGTCTCTCGACTTATACTGACAGCACACCCGGGGAGAAAAATGGAGGATTCTGATACGCCAAATCAGCGCGCTATAGAGCCATCTCCGTTATTTAACGGCATGTTCTCCTGCTACCATTTTATTATACCAATGGTGAGGCCGTCTGATAAGACAGCCTCCGACCAATAGGCGTTGATGCCGACGTAGGGAAAAAATAATACGATACTTGTCAAACCAATATGGCTGATTCCATCCTTCATTTTCCGTCCTTATAGATCCAAAAAGTACCTCTCATTTTGGTCCCATTTTTGTTGAGATATCGTATAGGCGATGCGCCATATATAGAAATAGTAGATATATGGATTCTTCTTCACCTCCTTTACCGTAGTCCGGTGGTGTTTTTGGAAACCGCTGCTCCCTGGAGTCCTACCCAATTGGTGAGGCACCAGGCCGTATGTACGGCCTGATGAGGATATCCCCATCACCCCAGGTGAACATGTCAACAAGATTCCTTTTGTTACGTTTGATGGGTCGCCGTCGCGAGAAGCTTTGGCCTGATTGCTACTCATGTTGACGGGAATCCTCTCGTCCCGTTGGATGAGTGATCGTTCGAGGACTTTCACACGTTCCCCTACCTCATTTACAGAAGAGGACCCGGCTTTGACTACAATGACTGATGGTAGGATCACTTGGGGATGCCCCCTCCTTGACGAACTAAGACACAAGGTACACCAGAGTTCCAATTTTCGCAGAGCAAGCAAGCACAGCTACCCATGTCGGCCGGAATCATCATACCATGACAAGAGTGGGGACCTTAAGCTTTTAACCAGTGGTGTCTGAAGTCACCTGGAGCTACCCCCACCCCGACACCGTGAGTACATGGCCGTTACAAATACGCCAGTCGGGCAACCAGCCACTCCCATTAGTCCCATTTCACCTGAAGTGGGATCTTGTTTTGGAGCGTTTCTTTCCTTGTCAGGTAGCGTTCGCGTTCATTTCACGGACGTTAAACGCCTCATGGGATATAAAATATGCTGAGATGTGTTTATGTTGGGTCAGCTTCGCACCAGATAGCGGTCAAGAATGCTATCTGGCCAGCCATGCACTGATGAGAGCCGAGAGCTTGAAACTTGTCTGCAGGTAGTCAAGCGTTCGAGAACCACTTAGGCGCCGCTCGGCGTTTAGGAAGGAAACACTTGCGATTTTATTCGTCTATACGAATTATTGCATAGATTTCGTGAGGATGTAATCCAATGTTCTGCGTGGCGCCAGGAAAGTGGTTATTTTTCTCTCGTTATCTATCATTTTCGTTCATTTTATGAACCATTATGGTAATGGCTTCGAGTTTCTCTCTCTTTGCCATATATTATATAGTGTTGAAGTGTGGAAAATATGTAACTCCAATTTAGAAATCTGACAGTATTTATTTTTGTTTTCTGATAATGAAAGTAAGTATATTGACTTTTGTATAGGTTTATTTCCGAATGATTATCAATTTGGCACAGACATGGTCCTTTTTGTTTTCAACAGTGAAATATTATGTGCACCCTATTGAAGTTTTAACATCCAAATGCATTAGATCGACTGTATTATCCATATAAATATCTACTTCCTACCATAACCACAGTGTAGAAAAATATAAATTCTATTTGTAAACTTCAAACCTTCAAAAATGATCAATATAAATCAGTAAAGTTGATAAAAATAGCGACATATAAAAGCATATAAAACTTATAACTGCTTGCATGATTCTAAAATATTGACATGAAATTATTCTGACCCTCTCATTAACATAAATTTGATATTTAATTGATGGAATGTCAAAATTTAGAGTAGAATTTTGGTATCTTGTCTATCTAAGATTACACACCTTTCAGGTAGCTTCATTCATAACAACACACAAATAAAAAAATTAAAATGTCAGAATCAACCATAACATCTGAAACAAATTGAAACAGTGTGTAAAGACTAATATTGCAAACACTGTAATGATTTTTTTTTCTAATTTGAAATATTAAAATTGTAACAAATTTTTAACGCTATTTTGGTATATACATGGATGTTTTGTGTATTTTTCTTTACAATTGCTAACTTATTTGAATAAGATTTTTAACCCTGTTCAATACAAAATATTACAATTTGCCCTCTTTCTCTAACAAATCTTTATCTAAAGAGTCCAAAGTCTCAGTTGAGCCTGAGTGGGTGAGGTCGTTCAGTTCATCTAGGTGTTTTTGTCTTTTCCTCACATTCCAATGGAGACATTCTGCCAGAGAATCGAACCAATCGGAAATTTGATCCTGGGCGCAGATACTGGGTACGGGATAGATGGAAGTAGTTACCCTCAAACTGAAAAATGAAAACAGTTAACAATTACGTAAGATACGGGAATGTCTCCATGAAAAGTGAGATAAAAATTTAATTTTCAAAATTGAAAATTTCGCAGGGAAAATATGAATAGTTAGTGGATTGGGCGTGCTGATTCCGAATCCAAAGTGATTCTCAACTTATTTCGACTCCTAATATCATTTTCTGGAAATCGGGGTGGTTCCACGGCTGTTGGCGAGCAGTGTATATCACTGAAAATGACCCCACTTGGTCATAGAGTGTATTTTTGGTATATCTCTCGCTCCAGCAAATTACAGGATTCCTACCTAACGAATACGTAAGTTACAGGGGTGTTTCCATTATAAGTGAGACTCACTGTATATACACAGTTAACGGCTTTTGTTGTGCTATAGTTCCGAAAAATGAGTCGATAATACCGTCTCCGAGAAAGAACTGCAAGTCCTTTTATCTTCCATTCGACTTCGTGGTTACGTATATTACTAAACAACCACTAAATTCGCAATTTTTTGAAATCAAATCACAGAATTAGACTGACAAAAGTGACATCAGATATTTGATTACTTCAAAAGAATGATAAAAGATGCCTACAACGCAGATGTTCCTACTGATTTCAAAATAATGTAATATCTTCTCGATATTGATTCGTTCTTTCTTCTGTCACAGAAAAAATTAGTGTATTATACACGGGAAAAATATTAGGTTTTAGCTCACGGTTTTTTGTCTCATTCCGCTACGCGTTGGGAGACAACACAACCTTTTTTCCCTTGTATAATAAATAACTATTTTTACAGCAGAAGCGAAAAATCGAGCAGTCGATTTTATTATCGTAGGTACCTCATGTTTTTTGGGGCGCCGAATCCGAATCTGGAATTATCCAACAACATTTCCTCGTGCATTTTGAGATATTCGCAGAAATCAACCAAATTTAGTTGGTGTTTTGCTTATGATTCCAAAAGTATATGGGTAGTAGGGAAAACGAATCATACATTATTTGAAGATAAAATTTGCCACAATTTGAATATAAGTGCAGCACTGTAGTCCTCGAGATACAGCGCTTCAAATATATGTCAATTTTTCCAAAAAAATTAAACTTCGAGTTTCGAGTCAACTTTTGAGCTAAATATTGGGGAACATACTGATCCTACGAGGAAAAATGTCAAGAATAAAGTTGTAGTAAATCTTTTCAGCTCCAATTCTTATACACAGTGATGCGAGTAGATCGAATGAATGACACATAATGTGCAAGAAACAGAGATATTGGAAAATTGGATATTGGTAAGATTCCACCTGAACCATCTCCTTGACTTGAACACTTCGCAGTTCTTCCATGAATTTACTTGTGTTTCATATGAAATTATTTATTATTTATTTATCGCTTGGAGCGCACGAGAGGGAATCCCTATATGTGGGATATAGCGTGAAAAAGCCAAGGAAAGTTCTTGTTTAGACGCGCTTTGGTAACAAAGGACCATACACTCCAGGGGCCCGATTCTCGAATCCGTTGGAAGTTGAGATGATGTATTCTTGAACTATTGTATGGAAAACTATTCCTACACATTCCAAGAGAACTGCTTCCCATGGTTATATCCATGGGAACAACATGTTTCCCATACATTTATGAAATACGAAGTTATTCTTATTTGTGATGGGAACTGAACCCTACTGAAAAATCGGAAAAACATATGTATTGCAAAACATGGCAAACATAGATGAAATAGATCATCTAGAGGGTTTACAAAATTTGGAAGTGGCTGAATTCCTTGCTAGAAGACCAAGAAGAAGGTTTTTGCCTAGAACGGACTCATTTGAGGCCGCTGCACAATTTATTAAAGTTTTCGTATTACTAGAGAATTGATAGGTACTTAAGAATCCGTATACCTAAGTGAATTGGGGGTGGAATTTTCCTTTACTCAAGTCCTCAGAGGGCTCTATTATTTCTATTAAAAGTATTTTCTGCTCTTTGCTAGGTGGTAGCTCTTGGATTTTTAATATTGTTTGTATCCATATCCATTTCGATCAGAGGAAATATAGTGAATGTAAAATAAATAATAATCTCACCGTCACAAAATTATATAACAATATAAGCTAAAAATTAGTCTAATTCGAAATGAAAACAGTTCATTTCAATCATTCACCAGTTACCAACATAAATTGCACTTATTTCATTGGTGAATTCATGTAAGCTCAAGAATCTATCTACGACATACGGCACTTTTTAAATCTCCTGGGAAAAACGATTCCATCTTGGTGGTTCAAGAATAGGTGTCATGACAAATTATCATTTCCTATGAGAACTGAAAGCATTGGATCATTCTCCTATAGGATCTAATTCCAACAGATTCGAGAATCGGGCCCCAGAAGGCCACGGTTGCAGTTGATGCAAGACGTAGAAATGGCTGTCTCTCTTCCTGATTTGAAGAAGTAGACTTTGGGCGGAGCTGACAAGCCTATCAACAGAACAAGGAGGTCAACATCTTCCCCTACAACAGCCACTGTATTGTGATCAGATGATAATGATATGGCTGTGGAAACAATCAGTTTGTCAGCATCTTCCTCCGCTTGATATGATACAAGTTTGGCCTTGTTCAGTTTTACCCTTTCAATAAGATCAGGTTTCATTTCATTCGTTTGCCAGGAAATGTTGTTGAAATACCTTTGGCGACATGGAGGACCACTTCAACGGCTTGCATTTTTGTTGCCCTTCCTGAGTGATCCACATGTTTGATGCTGGTAAATGATTTACATCTTCATCTCCATCAAATCAAAACGACTGACACAGAGGAGTAGTGGCAACGTATGTAATTGTATGTATACCTGTTACAAATTTTGAAGAAAGTTTGACCAGTTGGTCACAACACACGATTACCCATTGTTTAGTTTTAGAAACAATGTTAATGCTGAAGCTCATATTTTATACGATACTTGTGAAATGAATGATGACGTGTAAATGTGAACTAAAGTCTGGAGACAATGTTTGATATAGACAATGTAGGATCGATTCATAATATATTCAAAATAATTGCAAATCTTTCCCATACAACTCAAAATGTGTGATGTTTAATTAATTCATTTATTTTTCTTCATTCCCATTCATCAAAGGTCTGTACAAAATCTTAGCACAATAGCACATATTCCTGAGGTCAAAATAAGCCGATTTAATGCAAACATTTTTAATTCAAAGTAATTCAAATATTTCGGTGCTGCATCAAACATCAAAAATCGAATTATCTCGAAATCGGCTCACTTTATATGTACCATTTCAAGAAAGAGCCGTTAAAAATCATGTAGCCTGGCTGAACACGTTATAAATGAAGATCATAAAATGAATTATGATAATGCTAAAATTCTGGATTATGAAAAACATCTAAATAAACGGCTCCCGTGGAAACAAAGTAATTTTGGAAAAGTGGCACTTCTTTTGAAGTAATCAAATATCTGATGTCACTTCTGTCAGTCTAATTCTGTGATTTGATTTCAAAAAATTGCGAATTTAGTGGTTGTTTACTGGTTTAGTAATATACGTAACCGCGAAGTCGAATGGAAGATAAAAGGACTTGCAGTTCTTTCTCGGAGACGGTAATATTGACTCATTTTTCGGAACTATAGCACAACAAAAGCCATCAACAGTGTATATATATGTGATATATATCCGGGAAAAAAGTACTCACTTTTTTCTCACGGGAAAAAAGGAATTTATGAAAAGTGACATTTTATAACCTGCCAACAGAGATGAAATGCCAAACTTTTTTCCCGTCACAAAAAGAAAATACATTTATGATCTTCAATTATCAGTATAAGTACTATGGAAATAGTTCCTGCATTTTTATGATGAGTTTTATTGTTGATTGAGTACCTGTGTTGATGTTTATTTATGGTTGTATCTGTTTACTAAGGATTTTTATTTGTGAATAGGTGTTGAAATATAGCTTTTTTATTATATACTCCCTGAATATCCTGTGATTAGTTTGATCATTGATGGGAACCTATATTCATCCTAATATTCATTGATGATTTATATTCATTTATGCTTATTTTACTAAGAGTTTTCAACTTTTCTTCGTGAGCTACATATATATTTAACAATCAATAACAGGTGATTCAAAAGAAAGCGGCATCCTTTTGGCGGCGTAATCCTAGCATAAAAATAGGGCCACAGATTCCTATTATTATTTGGGTCCAAAACTGATTCCTGAGGGAGTACACCCCTTTGAATAGGACACCTTAAAGACGATTTTTTTCTAAAACATCAAAACCTTCCAGAAATGAATTTTGAAAATGAGTATACGGTATGATTTGATTGTGAATAATAAGATTCTGAACTTAAAATTTCAAAAAGGATTACATCCTCGCAAGGAAGCCGCTCACTCTCACCCTTTTGATTCTTGTTTATGTTATGAGAATATTCATTTATTTTATTATTTGCCTTAGTTTTCTTATATCTATAGCGGGCGCCAATTCACTAGTTTGCCACGGGCGTCATCTACCCTAGCTACGGTATTCATTTCAATTTTTGTTTCTCATAAGTATAATATATGACAACAATTTCGTAGTGTGCAGTATTCCCTAAAAAGAAAATACCAAAAAAAGAAATAGAAATGCAGATCACTCAAATTCAATTGATATACAATCCCACCACCTGACATTTGAAATTCACAAATATCAACATAAAAAAGATGGTACAGGGAAGGAATCATATGGTAGATCAGCATGTTCAATTCATTTACAGGATTCAGAATGAAAGAATATCACTCTCGGCGGTTATTAAATCTTGAAAAATCGTAAATTTTTCAATACTTTATCCAAACCACTACTTTTGGCTCTAGCAGAAACAATAACTTTGGAATTTCAAATGGTACACCCTAGGGATTTCATCATTTTTGAATCCATGAGATGACTCTGAGAACAATCACATCGTTTTGAAAGAATTTAGCATACTTAATAATATGATTACATACATTTTCTCATAATGTATTTGTGAATGTGAATGTTATCAGAAAATCTGAAAGTATAATGCTATAACATGTAATGATGTATTTTAATTATAATTGTCAACAGATGATGGAAAGTTAATTCTAGCATGTAATGATGTTTTTTAAATGTACATGTATACAGGTAGCTGGGATTGTTCTGTACCCCCTGACGTTTTCTGTGTCCGTGTTTATCATTTCGCAATAACGAGATAATTATAATTATTGTTAAACCAATTTTCTTAGTGAAAATGAGTACATGAAAATGGGTGCATAAAATATGTCATTCGAAATAAAATATTTATATAAAGAATTGTGATGTTCCAGCTTGTCAACTGCCGCAGAAACTGTCTGTCATATTATCAATCAAGTTATCAAGTTCAAAAAATGAGTTAAAACGTTTAATTGATTGAATGAAGTTGACCAATTCATTTTTGGCAATATAAACTCTACATTTCATGAGAGTATTTCCACAAATATTGTTTTAAACAAAAGTTGTGGATTTTTTTTGTTATTCAATATGAAGTAAAGAAATATATAGGTTAACTTTTGCACAAACAAAATTGACCCTGCAATATCCCTGAAAGACTTCAAGATTGTAAAATTATATCATTCTTCTAGTCTGCAATTGAAACTAAACAATGTTGTCCTCATTTTTTTTTTACCTCATTCAATGAGGATGATTTTTGTGTGTGAATAATTAAGGAGCTAATTCCCAGGAACCATCGTGAAAAATATTATTAGGTTTTCCACGATGATTCCCTAGAAGCTTAGAAAACGGTCGCTTACCTGTCACCATGAACCAATTCTTGCCTCATCCTGCCATCAAATGATACCCATGAAGTATTCCTGCTATCAGGTGAAACTGATATCTGAAACATTGAATTCAATAATTAGAAAAAATTGTGTAATTTCATATTTCATTTCATAATTGATTTTTCAATCTTAAAGTATTGTCAATTCACTGAATGATTTTCAAATAAAATTTAGGAACATACAAAACATGGAGCTGCTTACACTGATAATAGATAAATATTAGGAGATTGTTGTAGATATTCCTGAATTAGTTTGAGAGTCTCCATTTTTATTTTGATTTGTATATCGAACCTTTTTAATTACCTGAATAACAAAATTCCATTTGAAACAAGCAAGTTCATCTGATAATGCAATAAGTTCAAGTATAATTATTTGACATTAAAATTCAACAACAAAAGATGATTTCAATGATCATTAATCAGGCAATGTGAATAGTCAGTGATTTTGATTTTTCCAGTCATGATCACGCTAATAAACCTTCTTGCGGTGACTGCTGAAGTTTATACAGAGTGGAGACCTCAACTGGAACAAGTTCAGAATTTTCAAGGGCTTCACCACAGAGTGAGCATGTGTAAAACGAAAATTGATTGTGGAGGGGTAATAGCAGTAATGTTCACTTGATGAAACATATATTTCGTAATTATACCAATATATGATTTCATATTAGCATCATGAAATAATAGCAGTATATTAGAAGGATATAGCAAAATAATCTACTAATAGTTCATGGGCCCAGAGGCAGACACTTATCACTTATGGGAATAGAGGACAACCCCACTTGCCGCAGATGCGGGGAAGACGAGGAAACGTCACTCCATTTCCTCGGCGAGTGCGAGACGTACGGAAGGCTGAGATTTGAAATCTGTGGAGTAGACAAACTCCAACAGGAGGACTTGATTATATTAGAGTGGACGGACATACTGGCCTTCATCAGAAGGTCAGGGAGATTCGTAAAGGAAATCTAGGTGAAGGAAGCGTAGATATGTGGAGAGCAGGGGTTAGCAAAAAGGGCCCATCGGGGCCTACTTCCTTGGCTACAGCCTCCCCACCTACTACTACTACTCATGGGACCAGATATCTTGCAAAACTCAACGGAAGCAATGAGATCTAACATATTTGATAACAAGAACTTCTTCTTTCGTTTTATTTGTCATTTATTTTAGGGCATCTCTGTTGATGTAGCAATTGCGAGTTAAGTAAAGAAAGGGCGTAAAAAACAAAAAACCCAAGCCTGCCCAATTCTCACGAATTTTAGGAAAAACAGTGTTTATTCTAGGGTACGTCGTATTGCAGTCACTTTTCGTTCAAGTCACATTTCGTTGAGTTCACATTCTCTGCACACAATGTTCATGATTTAACTGGGATAGATATTATAGCTCTAACGAGACATTGCGTTGAACGGAATGTGGCTCGAACGAGATGTAGCTGCAACGAGATGGTCCCCTAGTCTTTAGGATTATTCATGAAAAATTTGGGGGATTTTGACACTGACATTTTCCTGAAGCTCCAGTAGCACCGCACTGCTGAAACTGAAAATGTTAGCTCTCATTTTCGAATGGGAGAACATAAATTTGAACTGCTTATGTTGAAGGAAGAGGTATGTACCAGTTTCATTGATTATGTTGCTCCAGATAAACATAAATCAAAAAAAGATGCAAAAGCTCCAGCTACAATTACTTTCATAGTGATACAAAAAATCAAACTTTAATACCGATTTCGTACAAATTGACCTACAAAATGGACCCGCCATCTTCGAATATCTAGTAGGTTTTGGACAGATTCCATAGCATGGATAATTCATATGCATGATGAAAACCTAGTTCAACACGGACAGGAAGTGTACAAGACTCCAAAATACTAATAACTTAGCAGAAAGAATGGTGCATGGCAGCACTTGACAACATTAGGGCTGTATTTGGGGAGGTACTAAAAGTCATATCAGCACAAAAAAGGTGTGTAAAATCAACATGCATGAAAAATTCGATGGAGTGTGTCAGCCTCACTCTTCATGATTAACGGTTAAAGATCAAGTAAACATTGGTTATAAACTGCGAGTAACATTATTATTTTGCAGTTTACCGTAAAACCATGAAAACTTAGTTACAGCTACGGAGAGAAGAAAAGAGCCTTGATATTAGCCGTAGAAGGGAAATTGATACAAGAGTTGCATAGAGGGGAATAAAAAATCGAAAATTACTAACAAGGCCCTAAGAAGAATAATATCACTACTGTGAGAAACAAGGAGGAAATTCTACGAAAAAAACTAAAAAATACGTGTTAATTGGGACTATAAAACGGAATCGGAAGCATTAAGATTGTTTAACATTTATTCATAAAGATAAAGCAGAGACGTGAAATTTCTGGAATATCTCTAGCTTGATAAGTCAGTAAAAAGGAAAACCAATAAATAATATCAGAAAAAAAAAATTTAAAATATTCATCAAATAAGAGGATAAATAGTAAATGATAGAATAATGAAGAACTTCATGAAAATCATAATAAAAATGTTCGTTGAACTAAGAAAATTTAGAATAGTGAAAAAACAATATGATAAAGAAGGAATCAATCGTTGGATTTCGAAGATAATGGAAGAGGAAGAAAAGGATGAAAATTGAGCCGCCGAAAATAAGAAAAAAAATCACTTGATATGCTAAATAATTATGGCCTAAAACAAACTAAAACGATATGCAATCTAATCATAAATGAACTTTTGTTGGATATGTACCTCGAACCTATAATCAGTGTTTATATAAAGAAGACAAAGAAGGTTCAACTTATTTCCTGGTATACGTTGATAACCTACTAATTGCTTTCAAAGATAAGATTTTCAAATGGTTTGTTTTTTTGAAAAGACACTTGAATTCATATACAAAAGGGGACCCAAAAATAAATTGTGATCATCATCTTCATATTTTCGAAGGGAAACTAATCATTCCTTTCAAATTTGAATTATGCGTTCAATTCTAAGTATGTTTCATGCACCATGTCCAATAGCAAAACTCAACAGTTATCAAGAAATTTACGATTAAATATATGGGTAACCAAGACTGATTTATTTAAAAAAACAACAAAAAGCCAAATAGAATTTCCAAACTGTTCAAACCCTTGATATTGATATAATAAGTTAAGATATTGAAAATTGAAAATGAGTAATATGCTTTCCTCAATGTTGGAGTTTTATTTGTTATCGTAGATGGCTGTAGAACATACTATACAGAGCTTTCAGACAACACAGGGATTTTCGAAAACACTGTAAAAATATTTACAATTTTTTTCCCAAGAACTTGAAGTTTCCAAGGGAAATAGATTAGGAATCATCGGGTGCCTTGATGACATTTCACAATAATCGCCTAGCCAGACCAAGTACAGCCGCTGATGCAAACTGTTCCGTACTTGTTATGTACACTATTTTTTCTACTAGCGTGCGCTAGTGAACAAATTATTATCATGAGTAATACCTGATCAAAAATAATATTCAGAAGAATGAGTCAAGCTTTTTTTCAGATTAATATTGACCAACTTATTGCAATAGGTATACTTTCGAAAGCCTTAGAGACTAATTCTATTAGGAAACAATTTTTTTTTTATCATGATGAAACAAACACAAAATATCTACTAAGAAACTTATTTATAGAAATTATCAATGTTTTTGATGGATACATAAGATTGATTAATAACAATATTCTGCGCATCCATATTTCTGAAACGTATTTAATTCTTCTTGTGACTCAATAACAACTGTGAATAAAAAGTACTCAACTATATTAGGCGTTTTCGGAAACTTACTTTGGGTTGATAACTCGATCCAGATAGGTCACGTGACAAAAAACTCGGATCATCTACTCGTGTTCAACGTTTACGAACGTGTCAGGTTAGGAACACTGAATATTATATTTTTCCTGTGGTTTCATGGATTTGACAGACGAAAACGGTCACATTATATTCGAGTAATTATTTGATCTGGTTACAAATATTTATATTTACCTGTGGATTGGTGTACTTGTCTCATATGTGTTGTTGCACATAACCACAAACTTCATCCCTACCCAAATTCTCTTCTCAATGAATTACTTTAATCAAATTATGAAGATTGAAAAGAACATGCATATCACCGTTGACTTAAATTCTGTAATGCGCATGCGGTGTCCTCTGCAACTCTGGTGACCCTGCTTTTGAGTAGGGTCACAAAAAATCAACCCGAGTCAGTGATCGAGTTAGCATCATTCAAGTTTCCGAACAGATGTAGGTAACTCGGTTTGGGCACAGTTTAAGGGATGGTCATAACTGTGGTTTGGGTAACCGAACGTTCAGGTTAGGGATCCGAACAACCCGAGTAAGTTTCCGAAAACGCCTATTGTATGTACCTACCTACTAATCTGAATGAATCATGTTTTTGTAACTCATCTAGTATTATAATCTCAAATCAAACTATTTTGTACGCACTTAATGTTCCTCGAACATTATGGGGATTACCTTTTCTGCACTCCAAGAGATAAAAAAAATATACCCTGATATTTCACATGTGAATATGAAACTCGGTCCAGTGGTCCAGTGGCGTTCTTGTACGAGATTGCATTTTTATAAGAGTAGTCTTTTCAATGAATAGAAAAAAATTTGGATATTATCAAACGCAAACGACATACTCTACTTGTACAGGGTGGGCAAAATTGGGCGTTTTCACCGTCTATCTCAATAACTAGAGGAGTTATCGAAAAACCGATATACATGTTCCGGGTTCGATTTTGGAGAAACCGCGAATGGCACAATCAAAATTTCGATATCTTCATTCGTTTTAGAGATACAGGGGGAAATTGAAAATTTGCCGATTTCGATTTTATTTTCTGACTACTTTACGGTGAGAGGTATCAAAAAATTTCGAACGTATATTTATACAGTATGATGCGTGAAATCCATTGGCATCATCAGAAATTTTATACAGGGTGACGTTGAGAAGGTACGGCAGCCAATTATGTTTTTTCTAATGGAACACCCCGTATATTTTGGCACAGTTGAATAGTCCCAGGCGTTCTCGTTACAAAGATATATATAACCCTACCTTTTCCTTCCACAATTTCAGATATATTCGCAAAAATATATTCAGTGTGTCACATTTCTTATGGTTACACCCCCGTATCTTCTGTAAAAATAATTGAGGTAGGATTCAAAAATTCGCAACTGTCAGGAAGATACAAATGATACACTCATGGAGACATGGACCAAGTGGGATCATCTCCAATGATAACACTGCTCGCCAGCAGCTATGGAATCATCGATATTTCTGGATAATGCTATCAACAGGCAGAATCGAGGTTGAAAATGACACTCTGTATATATATTCACCAAATGTGGAGAATAAATATCATAGGGAATGTAATTTTCAGATAAATGGTTATTGGTGAGAAATAAAATGGGAAATTATTCGATTTGATATCATTGTTATCAAGACATTTGAGATACAGAAATAAGACCAATAATTTACTCAATTAGGAAATCAGAAGGTTGCGTTGAAAAATATAGCGTTATAGAAGATGTCCAAATTCCAGATACAGAACAATTTTTTTTATGGAACACCCCGTATATTTTGGCAGAGCTGGAAAGTTCCCGTTTCAATTTCAAATATATATCTTATTTATTATCTCTTTGAACGCAAAAATATTAAGGCATACTAGAAATAATGGGTGAAGTATCATATTCAGGCATTCTGCCACAAAATATTATGATTGTTAATGTTTCCATCAATTATTCTTACAGAAGATACGGGGGTGTAACCATAAGAAATGTGACACTCTGAATATATTTTTGCGAATATATCTGAAATTGTGGAAGAAAAAGGTAGGGTTATATATATATTTGTAATGAGAACGCCTGGGACTATTCAACTGTGCCAAAATATACGGGGTGTTCCATTAGAAAAAATATAATTGGCTGTCGTATTTTCTCAACGGCACCCTGTATAAAATTTCTGATGATGCCAATGGATTCCACGCATCATACTGTATAAATATACGTTCGAAATTTTTTGATACCTCTCACCGTAAAGTAGTCAGAAAATAAAATCGAAATCGGCAAATTTTCAATTTCCCCCTGTATCTCTAAAACGAATGAAGATATCGAAATTTTGATTGTATCATTCGAGGTTTCTCCAAAATCGAACCCGGAACATGTAAATCGGTTTTTCGATAACTCCTCTAGTTATTGAGATAGACGGTGAAAACGCCCAATTTTGCCCACCCTGTATAACCCAGGAAAACGGTATCAAAATACACCCACGCCTAATAATAAATCCAGTAGTCGGTTTCATAACCCTATTCCATATTTCTGGAGGCGCTGAATCCAAATCTTATTCCAGGGCCGGCCTTGAAAAATTAATAAGTGGGTTTCGAGTCGAATCAACACCCTGTATATCGATATTTCAAAAACTTATTATTTTTGCCTATTGACTTCATTGAATCTAGAGGTTTCAATGATGAGGTGGTACAAAATTTTAAAAAAATTATTTGTAGTCCTTAATGGTATTCTTCCATTTATAATCCATAAAATCATCAACTATTATTTTCCATTCTCCTAATTTTTTGGGCCCAACCTAATTGAAACTGAGGGGAATGAATGTCTATGTATGGGACAATTTATCATTATAAATGACTAACTTGTGTGTTAAATACTGTCTGTAAGTTAATCAAGGAGGTGGTACATTCATATCAATTGATTTTCTTTATTACCCCAAGAAACATTTCTGTTTATGATAGGGATACATAAATACATATAAAAAAATAATAATAAAGGGTTAACTATAATGAATTCCACTCAGTGGAAACGAATTAATATTGTGTCTTATAAGATTAAAGTTATATTTCATTCCTAAGTAATCAAATCATGCCACATATTTTTCATTCAAATTGTCCTGAGCAAGTATTTTTTAAGATTGATTTTAAACCTTCTTGCATCATGTATATTTTTCAACTCATTCGGTAATGAATTTTATAAAATTATTCCATTGTGAAAAACAGATTGTTTGCCAATATTTGACTTGAATGTATTTGCTATCAAGTAATTCAAATGTCTAGTCCCATAATTATGGACTGTATTGACTTCATTGAAAGCTAAATTTGATATTTTCAACTTATTCCTGGCAAAATGAATAAAGTAACATATTTTAAGTTTATATAACGAAATCAGGTTCAGAAAATGTCTTGGTTTGTATAAATTTATCGTTAGTTCTAGAAATTGTAGATGAAAAATGCACTTAATTGATTTGTTTTGTAATTTCATTAGTGGTTTCAGACGTGAAACATTTGTACTCCCCCAAATAGAAATTAAATATTGCAAATTTGAATAAATGAGGCAAAAGTAAATACATTTTAAGTATTTTATGGGAATAAAATTTCGGATTTTGAATAAAATGCCTATGATCGGATTTATTTTATTTCTCAAATAGTCTATATTATGTTTATTCCATAATAATTTTTCGTCGATATAGAGACCTAAAAATTTTGTCACGTCTGTATATTTAATTAATCTATTGTTGAAAGTTATAGCATTATTCGAAATATTAACTGATCTTTTGGAAATATACATATATGAAGATTTGTTATAATTAAGAGTCAACTAATGAATTTGCATCCAAGATGATATGTTTTCCAAATCACTTGTAATATCCCGTTCGATACATTTAATTCTTTCGATAATATATAAATCAATGTTGTATCATCCGCAAATAATTTTAGCTTTCCTTTCAATTTCAGAGTTGATTATTTGGGATTTTCTCTCCTCGTTTCTATAAAATAAAGATATGAGTATTATTTCAATATATGTGTAATAGGACAAATCAGATGATTTGCCCCAAAATATCACTGCGTTTAACGAATTTTTCTATCAGGAAGCCCAAGAGAAAAATCCAATAGCTTGTAAGTGACACTTCGTTTGGAAAAATGTTTGACGAGGAGAAATATAGATATATTGAAAAAATATCGAATTTTCACTTTCATGGTATTCACTACTGAAAACTGAACATGAAAATGGTAGATTCAAGATCAATTGATGAAAACATCCTGTAACTCATTTGTATACTATACCATCATCACTCATAACCATATGCCAACAACACTGAGAGGTGTCAAACTATAGGAAAAATGTTTTGCATTTTTATGTTGAGAACGGGAGCAGATTCGTTCCCGAAACGTCCAGAGATAGACGAAAGATGGATGAACACTTTTTAATATGAAATTTCATGTTGTTCAATTTTGTATACCTACATTTTTTCGCTAGAGGTCACTGTTTCCGAATTATTCGAACTAAAAGGAAGAAAGTATATGTCCTATAAAAAATCATTTCAGAGATGAGTTGTTGATATGTCGGTACCATAGTATTTTGACAAGCTCATATCAAGGCACTCTAGAAAAGGTGAAATGAAAGTGTCATACATTTTGATTTGAAACAATAATTCCTTTGAGTGATAACGTCTGATATTTTCGAGAAAAAAAAAGTTGATTTTCTCTCACCGTTTTCTGCACGAAATGAAAGAAGAAGAATCTTGATGGCCCTGCACATTTCTGTAACGAGTTTTCTACACCACTAAATGCCTAAATGAAACTCACTTTCAGTTCCACACCAGCAGGTACCACGATAGGTCTAAAGCTGAGAGAATGTGGACATATGGGAGTGACCATGATGGCGGGAACGCTAGGGTGTATCATAGAAGCTCCAGCTGCAACCGCATAAGCAGTGCTCCCGGTAGGTGTGCTCACGATTAGGCCGTCGCCCTGTACAGACGTTATGTGTTTCCCGTCCAAAAATAGATCTGCAAGTGAAGTCCAACTTAACGAAACAACTGAGGATTATATGAATTATCGTATTCAGTCCAATACACTGGAAGATGAAACATAAGCTCATCTGTTAGAATAATAGTTATTATACAGTGTGAGTTATAACTATTGGGACACATGCTAACGGCGGGTTGTTTGGACCAAAATATTGCTGTGGAAAAAGATACGAAGCGTTAAAGTTCATTTTTTTATTTTTGCTGATAATTTCACTGGATATTTATCAATTATCAAAATCGGCACAGAGGAATAACTTTGTACAGGGAATATTATATTATATATTATTCTACAGTTTGTTACAGGGGACGTCACGTGAATGATTCCTGATGATGAAATCGACTGGTAACATTTCTTGACCAAACTTTATAGTGATTTTGATTAGGAAATATGACATTAACATCATTTGTATGTAATATTCGTACTCTTGTTTGAAAACGATATTTTCATCCGTTTTCGAAAAAAACGCAATTAAACAGTTCAAAGTCTCGGAAAGGGGGAAGGGAATTTCAAATATTATTTGAATTATGAAGAGTGTGCTTTGGACTGTAAGATGATAATAACTGTTGCTGGTGAATTAGATATCTTGTCAGTGAATGAATTTTGGTGCGAGTTTATTTAAAATCCTTTCTCGATTGAAACGCCCTGTATCTTCTTCCATAGCAATCTTTTATTCAGGCATATTTGGTCTTATCGCCATATTTTGGTCCTATGCCTATGTCCCAATAGTTATGACTCACCCTGTATATGAAGGTGAATAAAGAAATAAAGGAATAGCCAGGTACGAACCGAAGTAATATTTAGGGGAGGGGGCAGTAAGTGAATTTTGACAACTCATTTTTGAATTTTCTGATTGTCGTTTTGGACAAAAATGAATAATACGAATTGATCATTTTAGGTGGATTATTAAAAATCGTTTTCCCTAAACTCATTAAATTACATTTGTTATGAGCGACGAGTCGGAAATGTGAGTGGAAAGAATACTGCCCCCCTCCACTGCGACCCCAGGTGGGTCTATTATGGCTAACCCCTAGAGGTTACAGTTCACTGTTCAATCCACATCTTTTTACAAAGTCCATGGTTGAATTAGGGTTTGACAACCTGTAACTGGCAATTACATTTGCCGAATTGAAACTTGATATTTTCAACTGAAAATTCAGAATTTGATTTTTCTGCAACCGACACAAAAGTCGTCCATTTTGATACCAAAATTAGCTCTTAAATTGACGTTTCTATTACTGACACAAAAATAGGTAGGTTGCTAGGCAACACATTTAGTTCCTAGGAGCTAAAGTTGAATTTTAGTTCCTAGGAGCTAAAGTTGAACTTTAGCTCCTAGGAACTAAAAAGGAAGTACTGGACGTCATCAAGAATGAACAACATTGTGACGATTGGTTATTTGGGTTGAGACGCATACCTGATTTGTTTCCGATTTCAGCAGATTTGGAATTTCATACCCATGCTGGAGATATAAATACACCTTATTATAGTTTAGTATTGGAATTATAAACATCTCAGCTAAGTATTTTTGTTTGATCAGGGAAGCCTTCAAGATTCAAATACTTGCTTGATCTGTATTATATTCGTTATTCTCGGGATGGATAACTTGTTTTTGAATAATCACGGCAAGCAATAGTTTTTCGTCTCAAACAACGATATTGTTTAGCTTCATTTGATTATTAAGTGAAAAACATTGTATCATAGAGAGGAGTAAATAATCGCCATTATCATTGTTGATATGCTCATTAACCTAATATTTTCCACGTCTTGTTCCTATAGCTGGCGCGGTATTTGCTATTAGAGCACCTGGTCCATACACAAATATGTCACTCTGTGATTGCACTTATATTGAAACTACAATTCGAACATCCTTGAAAATTGAATGAACCTGCTGTTGATGCAGGTAGAATGTTCTCACTACACGGATTATTTGTCAATATTTGTTGCATTGCATACATATGGCACGGCATTGGTGGTAACTTCACATATTTATTTGAGTTAATTGTTTCGGTTGTAGAAAAAATAGCATGTTTCATTCGGATCAAAAGTGACTTTGTTCGGCTCGCAAATTTTGCTCGGCTTCGCTAAACGCTCCGCCTCGCAAATGCAAAATTCGCTTGTCAAACAAAGTGTCACTTTTGATCCTAATAAAACAATCTACTATTTTTCGACATCGAGTTTTAAATTCTCTACCTATTAGTCAGAAAGTTCAAGTTTGCAGTTGGAAGTTCCTAGTTTGAACTAAAAATCTTATTTCCTTCATGTTTAAACTTCCGACTAAAAAATCTTAATTTTACGTCTTTGAAGTTGTAAATTCCTAGTTTGAAGTAGGAAATCCAGAGTTTTTATCCATTTATTTCATTTATTTATATTTACCATGAAACGTTTTTTTTTGGGGAAACTTTCCCAAACTCAATTTGCCAACTCGCCTAAGATCGAGAAGGTGGGTATGGATCCCTGGGATTATCTATCCTGCTCGGAGTTAACACAAATACATAAGTTTGTAGGTCAATGATAGGTTAGTTTATTGCACCAGTATGTTCATCCAAAGAAAGCAAAACAAGTGGAAATCTTATGGGTTGTGAAGTTCTCACAATTACCAACAGTCTAAGAGCTGGCTACATGAGTTTCGGTACAGTCAAAATTTTCTTCTGGAATTGTTCCATTTATGGTGTGGAACACTAAGGCGCGAGTCTGCCTGGTCGGTCTGGGGGACAAAATTGTGGTGTTGTCCTCCACTTTTTGGTCTTCCATTCAGCAAAAAAACATGTTGATATATGATGACCTAATTTAAAGACTTATCTTATCACGTTGATCTTTCGTTTTTTTATTCGTAACTTTGACGCGGTCTGCCGGCACTTTAGCCCTTGGAAAACGGTCTGCCAATTATCAAATTATCTTCCTGACGTCACATACTATATGTACACGAAATTTCATGACTGTACTGATGACGTCGATTACCTTCGAAGCTCTGCAACTTTCCCCGCTCGCCCCCACATAAGTCCCCCAGACCGACCAGGCAGACTCACGCCTTAGTGTTCCACATCATAAATGGAACCATTACAGGAGAAAATTGTGACTGTACCGAGTCACGTTGAAACTCATGTAGCCAGCTCTCAGTCTATAAGGATTGAGAATTAGGGAAGAGACTATTCCAAAATTCAGGAAGGATAGATAACGCCAATTGTTTTTTATATCTACTAGTACGATCGAGAAATTTCGTTATTGCCATAAGTAATGTGAGTTTCCACAGGTTGAAAACAAAACTAATAACGGTGGGTTCTGTAAATACAAAAAGAAAAAAATATTGTATTGAAATATGTAAAAAAATCATTGAAATACCGAATCACTATCGGCCTCAACAACAGTAAATTCCTACACAGCATTTTTTTCAATTCCAATAGAAAAGAAGGTGGAGTATGGGATTCGAACCCGCGACCATTAAATTATCAAGACCGAACGTTGCTCCATAGGCCATATTGGGTTTCTTGCAAATCCACTTATGAACAGAATAATACAGCAGCAAGCAGGATTAATTGTTGCATCCTGTCTCTAGACGATTCTGTTTATTCATTCATAAGCTTGTGCATTATATTGTAAATTTTTTTGTAACCAAAATTAATTATATTATGTTTATTCAACAATACCAAGAACCGGATGTGGAAAAATTTCAATGATGTCGGTGACAAATTTCATGATTATTCAACCTCAATAGGTTGATTCAAAAGTTGGGTACCTAATAAAATAAATTGGTGAATAATGATATGTTATTAAATGTGTTCATCGTACCTGTTATCTAATTTGGTTCTCTACCTGTTTATATTAAAAACAATAAAATGCCACAAGATACTTCCATCAATACTACAATATACAGGGTATTTCTGATTGTTATGTGTTATGTACTTATTGAAAATGGTTACTTCTTGGCTCATTTCAGATTTGAAAGGTCACATTAACGTGTGGTATTACTTGCTGCGTTTTCAACTTATAGGACATCAAGCTAGAATATGAATTGTATATTTCATGATCACCCAGATTAGGCATTCATAATGGCAGAATTAAGTTTGGTCGGTGACTGTCAAAATCTCAGTATTTAAAAACCATATTGTGGTCATCGAGTAAGTTCAGTAGGAGTTGAACCGAGTGTTGAACAGGGTCATGAAAATCAGAGGCCCAATTGAAATTTCTCAAAAACGGTGCATCCAATCAAAATTAAACAAGAGGGACTTTATAAAATTGGTTGTTCTTCCGTAATTTTATTGTGAAAATATCCATAGCCACCAGATAGCCACCTAGCTTTTGAGCAACACAATGGTAACGCCACTGAAATCGAGATCAGCTGACTCATACTACTGATTCTTTGTTCTCTAGATACCCCGTGATTCACTAGAATATCTTGAATTTTCACTGGGGGGAAAACACTTTTATTTTCAATTTCAACGCCCAAAATTCATTTTGACATATAATACAGGATACGTATAGGAACAACCAGAATTATTCATTTATATCGCATTTGATTATAGGAAGTCTTCAAATCTTACCTTCACCTGTTTGGATAATGAACGATTTTTTTCAATCATATGTCACAGTCTCTTGAGATGTTTGTCATTTAACCCATGGCAAAAAGTTTTACCTATTTGACCAACAAACCAGCACGTCAAATTTCGAATCTCAACAAAATTTAAAATACAGGGTGTTCCGTGACTCGATCCCCATAGGTTATGAGCATATGCCTTGAAGAATTTCAAGTCAAAAGTGCCTCATACACATTTGTCCAAAACTCAATAGTTAAGAAGTTATGAGCAATTGAATGACAACTGTGGCTACTGTTGGATTGAAATAGGTGGTCCAGTTCTTTAGCCACCGTGGTCTCCTGACCTAACGCCTCTCGACTATTATCTCAGGGGACATATGGAAAGTCTAGTGTACAAATACAATACAATACAAATTGACCAATATACTCTTCAGAGAGCAACGTTTTGTTGTGAAGCAGCGGACATTTTGAACACAAATTTTAATTATATTTGAGTAAGCAATAAAAATATTCTCAATTCATAAAATATTACATTACTTTATTCAACATTCTCTTTGCTTCCTTAAACACATCCTGTTAACCTTAAAATTGCTCTTTACTTATCAACTATAGAGTTTTGGACACAGAAGTGTATAAAGCACTTTCGACTTGAAATTGTTCAAGGAATATGCCCTTAAGCGATGGGGATTGAGTCACGGGACACCCTGTATAACAACAGGCAAACGAAAGGAATAAAACAGTGTTTTCAACTATCAGATCAAGACTTACCTATATTCGACAAATACGGCGATGGTCCTCGATCAACGACTACTTCATTCAGTACCAGCATATTTGTCGGAAGATCAGCTTGTTTAGATTTCTCGCTAAATTGGTTTGAATCACATTTTTTCATAATGATACACCTCAATCGACTCCTCAACGTTAAAGCGGCATGTCCTGTAAAGAATAAGAAACAATTAAAATAATGTAATAATCCATATATCATCTTCTGCAAATTCATTACTTTTTGGAAATCGGTTTCCAACTCTGAAGCAGCGATTTGAAAAAATAGTATGTAACAGTCTCAAGGGTTTTGTGGGTTAGACGTTGACAAGAACCTCGCGGTTGAGTAAAGAAGTAGGAACCAAAATATAAAATGCACTAATGAGCGCCAGGACAGTGCAAAACTCTTTTTTGAAACGAATCATGTTGCTTTTAGGCAACATAATTAGTTTCTCATAATCGAAGGGATTTTTATTTTGATAATCATCAATACACTTTGTTGTATAACATACGATAATTTACAATAAACTGTCAAAACAAAACAATAAATGAAGTGTAAAGACTCAACTGAGTTAATTCTCTTGTTCTAATAGGTATGTGTGATAATTGAATCAATAATAATTATCAGTGGACCTTATAAAAACTAGGGTCCCTTGATGGAAATTGACGTTAATCAGTCATCTTAACAGGGTACGGACAGACCCTTGTCTCCTCTCACTCTAAAGTGTTCGTGAAACAGTTATATAATTCCATCATTATTCAATTCTGCGGATAAACACTAGATTTTTTACATTCGTTGTTTTTTAGGTTATATTGAGGTCACTGGCGTATCATACGTAATTTCCATATGGAATTCCTGATTCAACTATATCACGGTAAAGATGAACAATCACCAAAAGAGACTGTTCTTTGACTGTATACCAGGGTTGACTGAATTGACTGAATGAATTCTGATTTCAAGCTGAGCAGTAGTTTATCTATGAGCTGAATGAGCTGAGCCTTATGATTGAGAAATGGTGGAAACCTCGATGATGTGGGTATCTAAACTACTGTACTCATGCCATGTGTGCTAAATATATTTTCGGAAAGGCAACTCCGAGAGATTTATGGAGTGACTAATATTTTATCACACTATGTATAAAACTTCGTCTAGGACGAAAAGTAGGCTGATAAAAAGTAATACGTACAATGTGCAGGAAAATAAAGAATAGAATATACTTTACCCCCATGTTATACATATGATTTTTCCGCCTCCCTTGAATAAAAAGTCATTTTCGAATAATTTATTGATAAAAGTAACAAAGATGTAGGTATACGCAGTATAACTTATAGGCACGTTATTTGCACTCTTGCATCCTGCATATTTTTTATTTGTGATAGAGTAATAATTATATAAACTAATGTCTTTCGCCATATTGAATCCTTCATATTGAAAGAAAACCCCCAGATACCAATTTTGAATAGAATCGGATCTTCATTACAAAACTCGTCCACCATATTGGATCCGCCATCTTGAATATCCCAATTATAACGAAATGATTATAATATCCGACCCCGGAAATCCCCAGATACCAATGTTGATTTTTGAATAGAATCGGATCATAATTACAAAATTCGTTCGCCATATTGGATGCGCTATCTTGAATTTCCCAATTTTGACAAAAAATCATAAACTTCGACCTCGTTCGCCATATGATCTTCCTCAACAAGTGAATACCCTGTAAATACCTATTATAAAAATTTTGAATGATATTTTCTGAAGCGCCCATGGATGTGACGTGACAGCAATGTCAGGGATGCCAGTAGACAAAACTAAAGTCTCTAGATCATTAAAAAAGAATGCAGCTATGATCATGATCTGTCCGTACCCTGTTAAGATGACTTTAACGTCAATTTACATCAAGGGATCCTAATAAAAACTACCTATCCCATTCATGAACAATAACATTCCTATAGGTTACAGTTCAAAACTAGTTAGACCCACTTGTGATAATTCTCTTCTTATTCTAATATTATGTGAGATGATTAAACCAATAAAAATAATTGTTATCACTAAGGAGAATAAAAACTTTCCCTTATGGAAAGGCGGATTTATGCATACCGCTTTTTCATTATTCTGTAATTTCACGAATAAGTTAGAACTTGGTATTCCCGTTCATTCATTTATGCACCTAAATTGAATTTTACATCTTTCATTCACTATTCGCTAAAAGGTGACCAAATTTAATCTCTTAACGACAAATACAAATAAAACTGTGACTACCGCAGACGAGATTCTGTCAGACAAACAATTTATTCCTCTTATTTTTCCAAAATGTGGTTGAAACTTCTGGAAATTCTAGTCGTATTTTCAAATCAGAGTTTGAAAACAATATGAATGAATCATTGTTATTGTAATTATATGATCACTGAATGTTATAACACAAATATTTTCATCGGGCTATGTACGCTGAGGACTATGATTTGAACAAGAAGAAGAGTTCAGAATTAAAAAGTGGTGGTGCATAAAGGTATCATAGTCCTTAAATAAAAATGAACTTAATGACAGTTAATGAAAGCAACAGATTAATGAAAAAGCGGTGTGCATAAATCCACCTTAACGTCAATAGCATTTTTAGGTTAAAGTTCAGTGATGACATCAGTCTATTGACAGGACTCAACAAAATAATCCGAGCGAGCCAAGTTTACATAAAATTTCCGGCCGATCCTGAAAAAAAAAATCACTGAAATAGTGAATCTCTTACACATTATTTGTTTCAATTAATCACTTCGAAAAAAAAAATGGTGTAACATGGGATTCGAACCGGGGATAATTTATTGCGTCATGTTTTGTGCTTCTTATTTGGGATGACACAGATTTACTACCGCAGAGGTATGCAACACACACATTACGCTTAGCATTTATTTTCCCAAGACAAACAAAAAATTCAATGGTCGTTCTACATAATAATCCAATAACCAATAATAACACTACAGATGATTCATTTCAATAAATAACAAAAATTCGCAAGGGTATGCAACTCACATTGCTGCATTACTCTCTAAATAGTCTAAATCATTGAATTGTATTTCGTTAGCCGATGGTTGAATCATAGAAGGCGGGAAATGTAGTTTGACGTTTGCATTACAAATAATCATATCTGACTTATGTGCTTCAAAATTCATTTTAAATCAACACACATCAGCTCATTTAGAACAATATGATCAATCATAATAGAAGTATATGTATACAGAGTGGGCCATTGAAAACGAAACAGCGGCTCTGTAGGTCGGCAAAACCGGATGATGAAAAGAATCTGAAACACGTCAACTACATTTTCGAGGGGGACATCGTTCTAAAATATTATCAGCCCTGCGGCGTTGCCGCTTTTAACGAAAAGAAGCAACAAATTTGTTATTTCAAATGGAACACCTTGTATTTCATTGCATTTTCAGATTCTCCCCGAAGAGCTGATTTCATCAATGCATCACACTTGGGGTCTAGCTAGAATGATTTCAGGGATATAGGGTGTTCAAAATCGAGATTTTTCAACTTAAGGATTTTTTTGTGTCGAAACTCTTCATTATTGATCAAAACGGCTTTTATGTCCAACTTTTGATTTACTATCTACTGACAATTGTAACAGATACAGGGTGATCAGAAGTCTAAATCTTGAACCACCCAGTATTTGTTTCAAATAAATGTCAGTAGATAGTAAATCAAAAGTTGAGATAGGGACATGAAAGCCTTTTTGACCAATAATGAATAGTTTCGACACAAAAAAATACTAAAGTTGAAAAATCTCGATTTTGAACACCCTATATCCCTGAAATCATTCCAGCTAGACCCCAAGTGTAATGCATTGATGAAATCAGCTCTTCGGGGAGAATCGAAAAATGCAATGAAATACAAGGTGTTCCATTTGAAATAGCAAAGTTGTTGCTTCTTTTCTCTAGAAGCGGCAACGCCGCAGGGCTGAAAATATTTTAGAACGATGTCCCCCTCGAAAATGTAGTTGACGTGTTTCAGATTCTTTTCATAATTCGGTTTTGCCGACCTACAGAGCCGCTGTTTCGTTTTCAATGGCCCACTCTGTATATTGAATTACTTCGACTCGTGAAATGTGTGTCTTTTTCTCAAATTGTGAAAAAAATCATCTTGTCAAACACAACTCGCGTCTCACATATTCATAATTCAAACTTTTTTACTTGAGACAAAATCATTCAAACATACTGAATTAGATAAAACTACTTGTCCTATGGACTCGTGATTTTATCAATCGGTTTGTTTTCATATTTTTGCCAAATAAAAATGTTTTCGTAGGAAATAAAAAAAAATTATCAATATGTGAAGGACCCAAAATGACGAATATCTACTTCTCACTTAGGTAAGTGTGTAAATATTGTATCCTGTCATCTCCTAAAAGATATATTGTGCATCCGCCTACTTGACACTCTGTACACCGTCCTGCCACTTCCATACCAACCTTCTAAGACGTTGTTAACTTGCTCCTGAAAAGTGTCGAAGCGAAAAGGTGTCAGGAATCCTAACGATCCCAGATGGAAGGCCATCACAGGCGGCACAGACTGCTGGAACAACTGACTGGCATAGAGCAGCGTGCCATCGCCGCCTAGGCATATGATGAAGTCGATCTTGTCCGTCAGTTCATCCTTGCCATCCCTGAAGGTCATCAGTTTGTCTTTGATTGTGGTGAACGAGTTATAATGGTCCAACTTGGTATCGTCCATGACGGCTGCCTCGACAAACACCACCATCCGTTTTTCCTGGAATACAGAAGCTGTGTCAACAACAAATATAATGATATACAGGGTTATAAAAAGAGAAACAAAAATTTCAAAGTCAGTCGACCACACTTTATACAGGGTTTCACAAAAGAACCGGAACGGCCGAATATTTCAGCAACGGCTTGACATAAAGTTATGAAATTTTGTATACGAGGGTTATCAGTAGTGCCGGATCCAAAAATAATGTTTGCAACGTTGCCAATTTTACACTTTTTCCTATAAAGCCCCCAACTTCATTTTTTTCGAATGTAATGCTATGTTCATTTTTAGCGCATTCGATTTGTCGTGTTCAAATCACTATGCTCCCAATATCAAATTTTAATTCCCCTAGATTTTGTTAATATGTTAATTCAACATTTCGTTAAAAAATTATGTAACAAAATTTCAATATCTCAAGAGATAGAGATAGAGAAGTTACACATTTTTTTGAACTGAAGCAAATCAAACATTATTGATTGAGTTCGAATCTTGAATCGAATTTGAGTCCTGAAAATTCGTATGTACTTACTCAACCAATGTCAACAGAACTCTAATAAAATTTCGTTAAAATTATGAGGTATAACATAGGAAGTACCCTTGGAAACAGCTCAAAAACTCTTATTGTTGTCAACCAACGAACTATCTGTCATTATTCTGAAAGTTACACGAATTATTATCGAAATAAAATGTACTTTAGTTAGATTTAGCGGAAACAACTGTAAATTTGACAACTTTGTAAATGGTATTTTTATATCAGATTTACCAGCAGATTTCAAATGAATTAATTTTCATTGTAATATTGCCACATTCTCTTGAGATATTGAAATTTTGTTATATTTTTTAACGAAATCTTGAATTACCATATTAACAAAATGTAGGGGAATTAAAATTTGATATTATGGGAACATAGTGATTTGAACACAACAAATCTAATGCGCTAAAAATAAACATAGCATTACATTTTAAAAAATGAAGTTGGGGGCTTTATAGGAAAAAGTGTAAAATTGGCAACGTTGCAAATATTATTTTGAGATCCGGCACTACTGATAACCCTCGTATACTAAATTTCATCACTTTATGTCAAGCCGTTGCTGAAATATTCGGCCGTTCCGGTTCTTTTGGCAAACCCTGTATAAAAGTTCAAAAAACAGTTACCGGTTTCGGCACAACGGCCATCATCAGACTGTGCAGTATCTAAAATACATGGTGAATGTGGAAAATGAAATTGTCACTATAAAACAAAAACTAACAATAGTCCCATTGAAACCATCAAAAGATTTCACAAAATCAAAAACGTCATTAGGCCAAGAAGTCAGGTAAATAGATATGTCTTTTAAAACGGCTGAAGAGCCAGAAAAATCTGGCCCTTATCAAATTGAACATCGAAAAAAACTAAGTTTTTTGTCTAAATTCAAAAAGTCACATGTTGGCTGGAGAGAATTGATTCAAAGAATGAAAAAACAAACAATTGACATGACAGGCTGACATAATGGCATATGAGGCACGAACATCATGGAACAAAAGATAATTTCGAATGACAGAAGGTCTCAATATCAGCAACCTAGATTACGAAAGTAAAGAAGAAAGAGCTCTGTGAAGGAAAAGTAAGAAGAAGAACTAAAGTCTTTTTCCTCATTTAAACAACTGATGATGGCCGTTGTGCCGAAACCTGTCACTGTTTTTTAATCTTTTATATAAAGTGTGGTCGACTGACTATGAAATTTGTGTTTTTTTTTTCAAAATACATTGGACCACTTAGAGTATGGATGATTTCTACAATTTAATATACAGGGTCTCCCAGCTTCAATGCGAAAAACATTGCACGTTTGTGTATGGGCTCGATGACAAAGAACTCTTCAAGTCGTACGGCCGTTATTGATCATACGATTTTGGTGAAGAATATTTTTTCAAATTGTTTCAGCTAGCGATTTTTTCTGGAATCATTGATATACAGGGTGACATTGAAATTGATACAAATATTAAAAATTTTGAGAAAGCTCGACGTAAAATATAAGAATCAAAATTCCACGCAGAGTTCTACACTTTAGCAATTCTGACGTCCCTTATGCCCAAATTTTCGTTCAGAAGCCACAATCACGAGGAGTTCAATTATTTAAATTGTTTCAAAGTGGAGTACCCGATTTTCTCAGTTTTTGTTCAATTTTCGGAATGAAATGCTTCGTTAATTTTAAAAAATCTGATATTTTGGGAATACGCCTTCGACTGTATCATATTGATGTGCTGCAATAGCTATCAGTTAATATTGGTCTTACAGAAACGTTCAAATAAGCTAAAATGAAGTATTTTTTATGGGCATGCAGAATCCATTACCAGAAAATGAAAAAATGTGATTGTCCGATTCACTCTGTATCAAAATTTAAGGAAAACAATAGTAGTTCCTGTGATTTTGATCCATACATCAAGTATTATTAAAAATTTTAACATTTCAGATTTGTCCATATTCTCGAAGAGAGTTCGTTGAGTACTATATTTTCGAATTTTTTGTTTTTGAAAATCGAAGGGTTTGTGAGTTGAAATAGCCACTCTATATATTACAATTGAGAAAAAAATACAATCGTTGACATTAGAATTGAAAATGAATATTCTCAGATAAGCTATGAACATGAAAAAATGGATATACCTATCTATATAAGGAAATACATTGAGAATTCGCATTCTCTATGTGATGAATTTATTTATAATATAATATATTAATATTCTTTCTTGTTCTATTCAACAGAAAACAACTACTTTCCTGGCTATATGCCACGACGAACATTGAATTATATCTATTGAACACACACGATAAGAATTTGAAAACAAAATCTTCTGAAGTTGAGAATTTTGCATTCTCCTTCAGATATTATTATGTATATGCACATAATATCATTCTGAATATTCAATAGAAAACAACTACTTTCCTGGTAACTCACCACGTTGACATTAGAGTTGAAATTGAAGAAAGATGCATCCTTGTAATATTTGAGAAGTCATTCCATTTGCTTATTTTCATCAATATCGGACAATAAGTAACACTATGGATCTAGCGTTTTTTGTCAGTCTGTATATTAGACGTTTTATAGCTAGCTATTTGAATATAATGACGATGCGATTATTTTGAAATTCTAATTGAATGATTATCATTACATAGTTGGGAACAAGAAACTCTTCCTATCATCAGTTAATCAAGCGTTTGGAATATTTGCTCAACATAATCACAATAATTTATCATTCAAACATCTTCCGTGGCATGTCTTAAGTAGCTATCAAAGGCCTTGTAGAATAGCAAATAAATGGGCGCCATTAACGTATGTTCATTTTCATTGAAAATTGATATTCGTTGTTGAATAAGTCATTTTAATATACCATTAATTTATCGATGATGTGTTCATTAACATTAGCAATCCTCATTCAACATTATTACTGTGGCAAATCTCAACTGTCTAGTTAATTATCAAATGCATAAAGGCAATTTATTCGCGAATGTGCATTATCATTTATTTTGATGTTGTTATTAATCATAATACGTATCTAAGTCCGGTACACGTTGTCAGAGCGAGAGCGGGATTGACGTCTCTCTCTTTAGCTATCTTTGATTTCTTTAGGGAATATATTATTGTATTAGAGGTCTTAAATCTAATACAGGGTGAGTCATGAGGAAATGTACATACTCCTACCACGAATTGAGGCCCCTGAGAGGAATACATAATGTCCGTCAAAAAGTGTCTTCTTTACTTCTTTTCCAATATACAGGGTGGCCCACGGTCGATGGTACCTTAGATGTATACGGAAAACGGTACATTTGATTATCCTGAAAATTTGGTTACTCTAATAAGCGTTTGTGATCTAACGATTCAAAATATTTTCAGCGATGCAGCGTTGCCACTTTTACCAAAAAGTAGCATCATCTTTGTTATTTCATATGGAACACCCTGTATTTCATTGCGTTTTTAGATTCTTCTCGAAGAGCTGATTTCATCAATGCATCACACTTGGGGTCTAGCAGGAATTATTACAGAGATATAGGGTGTTCAAAATCGAGATTTTTCAATTTCAGGAATTTTTTGTGTCGAAACTATTCATTATCGATCGAAACGGCTTCCATGTCCCTATCTTAACTTTTGATTCACTATCTACTGACATTTAATTGGAACAGATACAGGGTGATCAAAATTCTGAATCTTGGACCATCCTGTATTTTTTCCAATTAAATGTCGGTAGATAGTTAATCAAAAGTTGATATAGGAACATGTAAGTCGTTTTGACCAATGATGAATAGTTTCGACACAAAACAATCCTAAAATTGAAAAATCTCGATTTTGAACACCCTATATCTCTGTAATAATTCCTGCTAGACCCCAAGTGTGATGCATTGATGAAATCAGCTCTTCGAGAAGAATCTAAAAACGCAATAAAATACAGGGTGTTCCATTCGAAATAACAAAGATGATGCTACTTTTTGGTAAAAGTGGCAACGCTGCTTCGCTGAAAATATTTTGAATCGTTAAATCACAAACGCTTATTAGAGTAACCAAATTTTCAGGATAATCCAATGTACCGTTTTCCGTATACGTCTAAGGTACCATCGATCGTGGGCCACCCTGTATAAGGTGAGTTATGAGATTTGGCAAAAACATCTTTTGGTCATAACTTTCCAACAGCTCCTTCGATTCGTCTGATTTTTTTTTCATGGAATATTTCGCTACTACTCGACTGACTGACCTATTCAGAATCGGGAAAATCCAGGACCGTTCTTGAATAATTTTGATTATTTAGGTTATAGCAAAAAGTTCATCCTGTATATCGTTTTTGCAAACTGTGGCAGGCAATTTTCAAAGGTCACAAACAAACATCAAAAATAAAATATTCCAAATTTTCCTTACACTTTCACTGCAGTTTGAAAGAACTATGAATTTTATGAAAAAACGAAAATTTGGCAAAAAATGTATTCATTTGGAAATTAATACTTCGCAACCCATAAATTTTACGAATAAAAGTGA